TTATTATTTTCACATACAAAATTACACATATAATTATCAAGAGTATATCCATATATATACTCTTCGTTTCTATAATGTACGTCGATGGTTGCTCAATTAAAACTGACTTCTTCTCACTCACTCATTTGTGTCCTTTTTTGTGGCGAGCTACAGTGTCATTGACACTTTCATTTAATTTAACGTTTTCACACTATTACGATATGGTTATTGTGATTACTGAACTGCGTAGATACATGCATGTGAGTAAAACTGTTCGCTATTACTAAGGATGTACGATGTAGTAAAATGTTATGAGAATTTATATGTGGATTAATTGTTTTCCTAGAAAGTGTAATGGGCATGGGAAAGGCCGTGATGTCAGAGTTGCTTGGAGCATTTCCGGGAATAGATGAAGCTATGAGCTATGCAGAAGTTATGAGGTAAGATATGCTTGCTCCTAATTCACATAAAAATAATTGTAAATGGACTGCATTATCATCACTTGTCCTGGTAAATACATATATAGCAGATACGGGTATTTGATTAAATAAAAAATATACCCATTGATTAGCAATTATTTTTGTTTGCATTAACTTGAAATAGGATAATAATGTGAATCTTTACCACAGGTTAGTCAAGAGTATGAATTTCGATGTGGTCGTGTTTGATACGGCCCCAACAGGTCACACCCTCCGACTCCTCTCGTTTCCTGCAGTGGTGGAAAAAGGTCTAGGGAAACTATTGAAGCTGAAGTCACAGTTCACCCCTTTCATTTCGCAAGTAGGTATTTATTGACCTGTGTAATGTGATGCCACATCGATGATACTTCTTTATTTTTCCTAACACTGCATATTTTTCCTATATCTGCAGAGACATTTTTCTTCCTTCTATATGGGCCATGCAAATAGCATCTTTCACTTTATATTGTCAAGAAGCTTGCACAATAGTATACATTTCATTATTTTCCCTCGAGAATGTTGTACGTATTCCTAATATTTAGAGACTATGTATGTGCACGTATGTATGCATGATTGGGTGCAAGCGAGCATGCGATAATTTATACATCATCACATGGCATTTCAGGTTGGATCTATGCTTGGAATGGCAGATTTCAGTGCTGACCAGATGTCTAGCAAATTAGAGGAGACACTGCCAATTATTCAACAAGTGAATGAGCAATTTAGAAATCCAGTAAGTACATATCTGATACCAACAGTGTCTATATCAATGTGCCATACCCTCGGATGTATGGGTGAGAGGAATATACAGAATATACTAGCTAGTAACCACACTGACTCTGGCACTTGCAATTGGAAAATAGAAAGGTTCATATATATATACTGTAATTATTTCTAATTATTTTTCAGTATATATTACAATAATATATTAAAGCCGCACAATGCGCATCCAAACGCTAATTTCTCCAGTACTAGACTAGCAAATACTTCGTGGCATGCATAATCACACTACCTTATGACAAAATAAACTCTAGTTGCTCCCATTTCACTACGCGTTTGCTTAAAACCCACAAGAAAGAGGTGAGAAAACTGGCATTCTGGCGCCAACGCCGACTTGTTTGCCAAACAATTTAGCCTCGAAGTGGTTAGGTGACGTCACATGTTTTTATCTTTGCTACACCCGTACCGCTGTACCGCAGCACGGTTGCTTGGGGAAACTGTCAACAACATCGGAGAATTTGAACAACATTGGAGGTATTTTCAAATACCTTTTATAAGACAACGCGCAGTGAAATGGGAGGAACTAGAGTTTATTTTGTCATAAGGTAGTGTGATTATGCATGACACGAAGTATTTGCTAGTAGTACTGGAGAAATTAGCATTTGGATGCGCATTGTGCGGCTTTAATGCATGATAATAAACCGTTAATATCATTAACACGTGTAATCAACTAGGGCCATTTGGGGGATATTGTCCTTTTCGATGAGATTTCTGTGGATTAGTACTTGCCCACACAGAAACATTTAAGAGGATATTTGCAATTGCTAAGATGGCAATGCGTGACGATTTACGATAATCGGCTCACTGCAGGACCTGACTACGTTCGTGTGTGTGTGCATCTCGGAGTTCCTCTCTCTCTACGAGACGGAGAGACTCGTGCAAGAGCTCACGCGATGCTCCATCGACACGCACAACATTGTCGTTAACCAGCTGCTCTTCCCTAGACATGGTCAGCTGGAGTGTAAGCTGTGTTTTGCTCGACACAGGATCCAGTCAAAGTACTTAGATCAGGTACGTAATCTAAGATATCACGTTCTGTTTCCTTGTCGGTTCGTGTCCATGATTATTCTAATTTTGTTGTGCTAAAGCGATTGTAAAATAAACTTTTTTTAAACTACAGACGTGCTAACTGCAGTCATTGTGCGCCACAGTGTTTTCTTCATCGTCTGACGACATGCTGCAATATCTGGGTGAAAACCAGCAATGTCACTGAAACATTGCGTCCTCTCAAAGGGCTCGAATTTCGCCATAGCAAGTGGCGTAGTACCCCTGAAAATTAGACTGTATTCCACGCAATAGACAGCAATGACTTCCCTGCATGGTTTTCCACCGTGCGCTTTCCATAAGTTAATGCTATCAGGAGTTAATAATGACAAAGGAGTTTGACTCGTATTTGGTACTGATTTCACTACATTTTTGTCTTACGAGTTCGATGTGAATAAAACAAGTGCCGCGGAGCGACAGCGCTCATCTCACGTCTACTGTGGTGACTCTGTGGTGGAGTGGTGGGATTCTAGTAAACCCTGTTAGTCCCAAATGTGTTCACATACGCGCCGAAACAGTGGAAGGCACAACGATGGTATCAGGAACCTTCTCGAAGGAATGTTTGTTGGGATCGTTATGAAAGTTGCCACGAGATGGCGCGTACGTTTTTAAAAGTGTCTTAAGATTAAAGATGGAAGCTCCCATCGTACGTAGTAGCAACAACTATTTGCAAGACAGAATAGGTAAGCACTCATCCATTTACCTACGCAAGCCTACAGGCTGAAATAGAGAGCTGCCACCTGTAACTAATTAACGCAGGCAAAAACTACACAGTACTATCACCACCACATGCACTGGCAGTGGCATAAGTTACATGTAACACACTGACAGTACAGAATGCCATAGATATTATACGATTTAAGGAGCATAAACCTTCTTCAACCAAATTTAGCTTTTGAAATTTCACTGTGACATTGTAGCCTTATACATCCAGGCATGTATAGATTCTACTAGCATACCCGGCAGTTAAATTCTTTCTAACAGTAAACAAATCCATGTTTAACCCTCCGCTTGAGGGTCAAAAGGTTATCCGACACTCTTCGTATGTCAGCGGAAAGTACATTTTATGGTCCTTTCAATAAAGCCATAAAAATGGTAGGTCACTGCTGAAACAAAAAAGTTTTCCAATTGCTCCGTCAGACCATGTCCTCAGAAAATGTCTAAAATCTGCCCTGTGCCCCTTGACCTGTGACCTCCAATTTCGGCACAGTGATGGCTTTTCCTACCATGAAGCTATACACCAACTATCACAAGCCTAGGTCTAGCCGTTTAGATTTGTGCCGCAATTCTGCATTTCCTCCCTATACCTTAAGTTAAGGAGGGAATGTTCCCCCTTGTTTTACACCTCTTGACCTTTGACCCCCAGCTTCGACATCCCAACTCGTTTTCGGATTACCCCCCCACGTCCCGACTTTCGAATCCGTTTGTTAGGCCGTTTAGATTTGTGCCCAGTAACTGTTGACGGACGCACGGACGATCATGCGATTCTACAAGCTGCATCCGACTTCGTCAGATGAGCTAAATACAAATGTATACAAACATGAGCTTCTTTTGTTCACTGGTCCTTATTCTATCTTCCAGTAGTATTACAAACCGCGTAGCTTCCTTCGTTTTGACATAAATCGTACTTTTGCACGACATGTTTTTCACATTATTTACCGTCCTCTGGTGAGGCCAAGCGGTAAGAATAAGGACCAGTGAACAAAAGAAGCTCATGTTTGTATACATTTGTATTTTTATTCACATCGAACTCGTACGACAAAAATTTAGTGAAATCGGTACCAAATACGAGTCAAACTCCTTTGTCATTATTAACTCCTGATGCTATATATGTACCCCTCTTTATCCTGTTTCTAGGTTCAAGTGGTTTTGATAGTAGTTATCCGATGAAAATGTTTGCCTTGGTACCCTAACAAATTATTAAACCGAAGGCAACGCGTACCTTGCTGTAAATCATTAACGTTTGAGCCCTGCTCTCACATGCAGTTTCTCATCGTTTCATTTCCGTAGATCAAGGACCTCTATGAGGATTTTAACATCACCAAACTGCCACTTCTTGACCACGAGGTGCGTGGATGTGAACGCGTGGTGGCCTTCTCTGATCTTCTGCTTGAACCCTACGACCCCGACAAAACGAACGACAGCTAGTGGCGACCTCTACGTACCCAGCGATTGCTGCGTCAAACCCGGATCGCACCGTTTTGGCGACACTTCAGTTTGTTTTTTCAATTCTGCGCGTCGCTGGTGGCGAAAGTGACTCTGGAATGTAGTGTCGTTGGGTTTTGCAAATGCCATTTGCTTGTGCAGTTGGACAGTTTTATTAAATTTTGCAGTGCAAATTTAAAGCGACCCTGCCAGTAGAGTGGTTATGTTGGAAGTATGAAATGTTTTGTTGAAAGTCTGTGAGTCAGGATGTTGGTATCTTACAGTTTCTCATTATCGTTAATAATGTTGTCATTATAAATCCAAGCTGTAGTGCAGTTGGTCTGTAGCTTTCATAGCTGCTTCACAATACAGTTTTCATAAAATTTGTTATAATTGGATCCATAATTGAGAATATGGTATAGATAATAGATTTTTAATAAAGAGATAATCAAATGCATGTTATTTTACATTCAAATTGTGAATGCTTCATCTTCGTCTGCAGACAAGGTCATCTGGTTTATACTGCAATGTGTGGTATTCAAGCTTGGTGGAATGAGAATCAGTCACAGAGAATTGTTGCATCATATCATGCAGCTTTCTTTTGTAGTACAGAAATACTGTACTACTTATAAATACTGTAGCCATCACTGATGATTAGGCTTAGTTCATGAAAAAGGTACAAGTCTGTGTACACCTCGATACTGCATCATGGTGTCTGGCTGCATTCTCATCAAGTTCGGCTTTTGTTTTGGTATTTTATTTACGAACAAATTTTGTTTTGTATGTTTCAATAGTGCAGCACGAGGCTTTCCTATGATTAATCCTCCTTCAACGGTTTCTATTCACGAGTGGTACTACATGATGATCAGGAGTGAATAAAAACCCAAAAAAAGTTTTTATTTACTTCTTATATGATCATAAAGCAATGCAGGGTTTACCATTCATTGTTGATTAACTGATTAACATGTGACAAATCCAGCCCCCCACCTATATGGGCTGTGCTTATCATAAATACTATTGTTGAAGTACTCAGTACTTCACAGGCGAAGTTTCATTGGAATTGCGTGAATCATGACTGTGCATGTTTTTGTGGCCTGTACCAGGTGCTTACTTGTGGGTAACTATGGAATTAACAGATTCTGAAATGTGCATGGTGCAAGTTTGTGTGCCAGTGAGGTAAACAGTCTCAGACTTGTTATTCTATGATGTATACCACTTTGTTGCAATCCTACAGATGTTTTGTAGTAAAATGGCATTTGTACATCACTGTACGTTCAGGTTGTGGATGCCAGCATTGTGTACATGTGGGTTACTAATTAAAAAAAAAGACTTATTTATATTATCTGACTTCTCAAGTCTTGCTTATATTTTTCACAGTATCTTACAAAAGTAATACTTCTTTAAGTATTTTAGTTTTAACGTGCGTACCGAAAACTATACAATGCTGAGCCATATACTCAGCATTTATAACACTATTAACGACAGCACACGCGATTTCATGAGCTTGCGTTCATCCGAACTCAAGTTCCATTGCGCATAACAATGCACCTATCACATTCTAAATCCTATGACTATTCGTGGCCATTCACTTCTTCGAGGCCAGTCGCTGAACAAGTTTCCATCACTCTTACTAGTGCACAACCAATTGCGGAAGGAGCTACGCTGCATTCCAGCTGACCGTCACAACGCACATCTAGAGTATGTAAACACCACACTGACAGCCATACTGCCGACCTACGAGATCACGAAGGGGTAAGGCCGCACCAGCAAGGCCACACCGATGCTACCGTGGACGGCACACCCACTCCAGCTGGGAAGCCCACACCGACTCTACCCACTACCCCGCACTGGTGAAGCCATGCTAAAGACATGTACTGACACACCGACCATCCATGACGCCGCGTCTCCCCCATGCAGCATTGTCGTTGCTGCGGCTACTCAGTGCGCAGCGTCATTGCTGTATCTCCCCCACAGCGTCGTCGTCGCTACGCCCCCCGCACATTATTCTCCTTGTTGCCACGGCTACCCCGTGCGCAGCATCTTCGCCTGCCGCTTCTCGGCGAGCTCCTGCTGCTGCTCGGCGACGACCTCGCGCCGCCGCTCGAGGAACGCGCCGTACTCGTCTGCGTCGAGCCGCGGGACGACGCGGATGCCCATGCTGTGCGCGGTGCCGATCACCTGCCGGCACACCGCCTCCAGGCTGTAGATCTGCAGGTAGTAGTCGGCTGCCTTGATCTTCGCGATCTCGTAGACATGCTTCAGTGTCACCTTGCCCGCGATCTCCTTCGCTGGAAGTGGAAGAGCGCGAGACGCGGGGGTCGAGTGAGATGGGGGGGTCGATATTGAGACAAGGTCGAGTGAGATGTTGGGTCGAGTGAGACGAGGGGTCGAGTGAGACGGAGGTTCAAGAACAGACAAGGGTAGACGGGAGGAGGGGATTCATATGGGGTAAGGGGGGTCGAGAGAGAGACGAGGGTCGAGACCATACAAGGGTTGAGAAGGGAGGATGAGATTCATACGGGGTAAGGGGAGTTGAGAGTGAGACATGGGTCGAGACCAGACAAGGGTGGAGAGGAGAGGGGGGATTCATAAGGGATAAGGCGAGTCGAGAGTCATACAGGGTTGAGTGAGATGGGGGGGTCAAAGGTTGGATAGGGGCCGTGGATCAAAGAGGGGTCGAATCTCAGATGGGGGAGAGGGGTCGAGAGTTGGACCAGAGGTCAAGAGCAAGACCGGGGGTTGGGAGCAAATTGGGAGCCGAAAGTCGGACGGGGGTCGGGTGGGGTGGGGGGTGTCGAGAGATGCACAGGAGGTCGAGAGCAATACAGGGGTCGAGTGAGACGGGGGTTAGAGAGTGGGACGGGGTTAGAGAATCAGACGGGGGGCTTGGCATTTAAACGTGTAGAAGCAGTGATTTGCTAGATTTGCTAGCGATGTTTTTAAACCAGTTTGACTTGCAATTAAATCATTATCATGAAAATAAAATACCTGGAAACATTGCACCCTTTGGAATTCCAGCTGCACACTTAAGGAAGTAAGTAGTTGGAGGTGTGCCTATTTCCAGGTCATAAGATCTGTCACCCTTTAAATATCAAAAAATAAATGGTTTGAAGCAAGTAATATATTTTCGTATAAAAATACCAAGACAATGTGACAAGACATAGTTATGAGCTAGTCATATAAACAGGAGTGAATAGAAATGATTCACTCATTTATTATTCACTCCTGATATAAACCAATACTATCAGTAGATGACTGCATATTTATGTCACATATGATATAGACTACTTCCACTTTAAATTACAAACAAATCAAATCATATAAAGCCAGTTACAAGTGATTTGCAAATTTATATTGACTTTTAAAACCTTACATATAAGACTATACCTTGACAACAATAGAGCATGGTAAGGGAACACCTTCCTTTATGTCCTTTGTCCTCTCATTGAAATCTTTGCAGAACTGAGCAATTGCGATTCCTCTCTGAGAAAAACAATTTCATACCATACAAGAATGCATGATCACCATCCATACTCTGCCTAATCACACTTCACCAATCACGAACCGTTCCCTTATGGGTAGAACCAAGTAAGAATTAGAGTGAGTAGCTATTTTATACTTGTAAAGAATTATACTTTCAAATACAATTGTAGCATCAACAAAGTTTTGGGTGTCTACGACCAAGATGCCTTTGAAAAATACTGCATTGTGGGGGGGTTTTAGTGGAAGTAGTTTTAGTAAGTTTGTGCATGGTGTGCAGCGTGCATGTTACTTATTTGACATGCTTTACCAATAAATATGTATACTCAGCAACTGAATACAAAAACACTTGCACATGAAAGTGTCACCCTCTCAGCAAATTATTGCTTCAACACCTTTAACGCCCCTTACCCCTGTATGAATCCCCTCCTCCCTTCTCCATGGAGATAAGTAACTGTACTACTGTTTCTATCATTGACATTCCCCTGCCAATCCCCACGGGCAGTTCGAGTAACTTGGGTACTGCTCCACAACCAAGTATATACTATAAGAGCAATCTGTGTCAAGTTTTGTTGTGTTCTTGTACTTATCAGTGTCCAATACACTGGATATGATGACAAGATAGTGTGTGCCTTTGGGGGGAGTGAATCCAAATAAGCAAACCAGCATGTGCATCATAAATAATAATGAGTTAGATGCAGCTATGTATCTTCCCAAGTGGCACACCGGCACACAGTGGGGATGAAATTAATGTCAAGAAAGTAACAATGCTATCATCAATAGAGTACCGAAGTGATGACGTCACGGTGGCATGACAACGAGCCCACTGGTTCTACA